CGGAAGAGGCGGGGAGTCACCCCGAATAAGTGACGAGTCCCTTTGCGAAATTCGTCGATAGAGGAAGAAACGTGAGTATCGTTTCGCTCACCGGCCCCTCACGATGAAACGCGGCGATTCTCTTGGAACTTCTTACTTCGGGGAGTAAAGTCGAGACTCTAGGGTGCGCAAAGAGTATCTTGAGGGCCGACAGAAGGCATGGAGAAGGACATCGAGTAGTCTTCTCCGCAGCTTGCACCAAGTAACCAGTAAAGAAACGACGATCGATCCCACCGGGCGGCATCCGCCGCAGTTTTTGTCGATCGCGTAATTAACTCTTTCATCACCTGCCGTCGTACAGCACCGAACCATCTTCATAATCTCTCGAAGAACTTATCATTCGTCTCGCGTGATCATCGTACGATGCAAAAGGTATAAGAAAATTTTTTTCAACAATTTTTTATATTTTTTATAATGAAATAATTTTATTTTACGAGGAGAAAATGCATTCTCTTTATACCTGCTTTACATAAAGCAACATTTTTGTATATAAATATACAAGAAAGATAGCGCATTTTCTTTATCTGCCGAATTGAATTTTGATCGAAACAGAATTCAGACACTCAATTTAATTCGATGCTGAAACGAGTGCGCGAAATCGCGAGCATTGAACTTATGAACGAGCGCTGACCAGGCGCGATCGACGACCGAGGAGACGGAGGATAATCGACCACGGTAAGATAATTATCCTATACAGGATGAGGAATCGGGGCTCCCTGAGGAACATGCTGACCGAACGGTTCCTTGTCCTGGTCGCGCGATCGACACACAGAGATCGCTCGATCGTCCTATCACCCATTATCCATATCGACACACACGTATAGGTGTAATCGCGTTTTGTAGGCGTTAAGCTCCATTAAAAGCGTATAGACAGATAAGGCGTATAAAGCACAGTGCTGCCGCGGCTTTAGTGTACAATAACATACGAATCGAGTATACGTTTTCTAGTCTTCGATAGAGACCCCCTGATCGACATCTCTCTCCTCTCTGTTTGTCCACCCTTATTCCAATGCCCCCCTTTTCTTTCCATTCTCCCCCGCATTCGCGTCTACGGTTTCGCGCTGGTCCTTTTTTACGACTTTGTATTTCGATGATCAGGAGTACAGGACGCTCGATTTTCTCGTTATATTTCGATGTATAACGATAACCCGGAAGCATTATTCCGCGCCGGGCATTGCGTTAGCTGATGCGCGCGCTATTGGCGCCATATGTACATAAGTGTATATATACATATGACTATATCGATTGTACCGCCGATGAATTTGCCGATTGTACCATTTACGACTCTGTATCGGATCAATAAAACGCAACGAAAACGTCCGCACGACGTGATATATTTGGGTGATCCCTCGATTCTCCCTATCCGATCTTTTCATTCCCCCCCCGTTGGTAAATTAAAGTACGTGGAGGAGGTTCCCCCTACATATTACAGAAAGATATTACAGAGAACACAGGAGATTTCGAAAAACATTTTGTATATTATTTCTTTTTTAATATAATATATTATTAATATCAAAGAAATAATATAACGCTCATTTTTGGTTCATTATATTATATCTAATTAATTAAAAATTAATATACTTTTCTCGTGAGGTAGAAAATCGAGCTTTGAGTTTCGAGATTCTGAGGGAGAAAGATCAAGGGATCCCGCGCGATGATGTCCATAATTCATCGCAGTGGTCTCCTGCCGCTTTTCCCCTTCTTTCCCTCTCGTTTTTCGCTCATTTGATCCGAAACTTTCGCAACCTCTCTTCAGGAAGTTCTCCGGCCGTTGCGCAAATTGCAACGAGTGGCCGAACGGCGGAGGAAAAGACTGGCGGAGAGCCTAGTCCGCGAGGGATGGAGGAAAAAAAAAGAAGCAAGGGGCGACGAGTGGTGCGGGAGAGAAAGGGAGGAAGGGTGAGCTTGTGTGTGCCCCGGAGAAAGCATCAACGCGGTCTGGGCGGGCCTCTTTAACGAATGCAATTAGCCGTCGCGGCTGCGGTCCGGGATCATTTTTCCCCTTCGGGCGTTATTTTATATCGCCTTTGCCATAAGTTCGTTCAAGCACGGCGCTTGATTCGATTCGGAGATTGGAGGAAGGACGTTGCGCGTTCGCGCTTAAGGGCTAATCGATTTCCGCCTTCTTTTGCTCGTCGTCTTGTCGATAGAAAATACGACTGTCACGATGCATCGCTTCGATCGTCAATGGCGCTTTTCTGTTTAAATAAAGTCGCGAGCGAGAAATGTCCCGACATTTTCTTCGTGATGTCTGTGTTCTAATAGATTTTGGATATTATTTGAATGTATAGAAAAATTGGAGTAAAATGCAAGTCAGACTCTTTACGAAATTAATTTAGTGAGCACGTGAAGCTGCGTACTAGGATTATTATTTGAGATGCAAAGCTTTAAATAAGAAATTTTTTTCTAGCTTTCCTTTATACATTTTATTATTTTATAAATTAAATATTTTAAAAAATATTTTTTTTAAATTTTTTAGAGCATTTGTCCACTAATATCACGCACAACGTCGGAAACTACTCTTAGGAACATATTACAGAAAGATATTACAGAGAACACAGGAGATTTCGAAAAACATTTTGTATATTATTTCTTTTTTAATATAATATATTATTAATATCAAAGAAATAATATAACGCTCATTTTTGGTTCATTATATTATATCTAGAGAAAAGTCTTAGGAAAGATAATTCCTTGCTTACCTTTTTGCGCACTCATATAATCTTCAGGAAAGCGGTAATATAAGAAGAAGGTAAAGTATCACACCAGTTTACGACGCGCAAAAAACATTATAAAAGTTGTTCAATGCCTTTCTGGGAAGTTCTTGTCCCCCACAAATTACAGCCGGCGGTGCTATTGGTAAGAAAGATGGTCGTGGGTGTAACTCGGATTAGAGGAAAGAAAAAGAAGCATTGAGTGTGTCGCGCGCGAAAGAGGCGCTTCGAGAATATTGTTACTATTAGGATCGTCTGTTCCCGGGGGAAGGAAACAGGGAAGAGTCTAATAAAAGACTGCCGGTATTTTACGCGAACGTGATTAGCAGTAAAACCTTTGTATATTATTATTCGACTTTTATTGCGTGCAGGATATTTCGTAAAGAATAAAGTTTGAGAACATAATTTTTGATAAAGTACGAATCAAGATTTTCCCCGCAAAAATCTGAACCAAGCAATATGTGCATTAATATATATGTATATAATATATACATGTATAATATGAAATTATAAAACTTTAAAGAAAAAAAAATTTAATAAATTAAGGATTGATTAAAGAGATGGCTAATAGAACTTACATTTACTTTAGTTAATTTTAAATATACTTTATTTTCAAAGAAATTTAATTCAAGTTTTTTAAAGAGTAATTCCGAAGAGAGATATTTAATGTGCTGAAATTTTCACAAGTTGCGCGAAAGATTGCATCTGATCGAATTTTTTTCAAAGGAAAGGTCCTTTTTGAACCAGAGAATGGAGTCCCAAAGATTGTTACAAATAATCCTACATAATTTTTCATAAGGATTTCATGCAAGCCACGTTACGGAAAGACATCGAGTTCTAGACAAAAAGTAAGTCCATGTATTCCGCTCGCTCGTTGACAATAATGCAATAAGGATCTCAAAGTATAAAAGTTTTGCTTCTTTTACTCTCCTTGAAAAAATGTATACCGCGGCTTTTGAGCTTAAAAGTTAGTCGCGGAGAGAATCGGCGGCTACGCCGTGCACGTGTTGTGACAATGGTACACATATACGTAACGACGAAAAATATACCTCGTTAAATGACGGCATCATGTAAGCCCATGCTCTTCAAAATGTTTCGCACGGATTTAAGGGATTCTATGAGATGTTGGTAAAATTTCAGCGCTCCATTATCTCTATCGCATGGCGATGTAAATTACGTATATAGTAAGGGCGAGTTAACTGGCGTGTTAAAAACTTTCCCATTTTCGCGTCTAATTATAAAACCTTTTGCATCCTTATTTAAAATTATCAAGTTGTTCTGGATACAATAAACTATCGCATCGTTCAAAGGACTCTTGATTAAGAATTGTTAACTAACAGTAGCTATGATAATTTAATCAAAAACATCCTTTGAATTTTAAGGAATATCTGTAAGCTATGCAAGAATTGAAAAATATGAATTGAAGAAAGAATTTCTTGAATTTTTGTCCATAATTACGCGAATGGAAAATTATCTGCCATATGACTACAGTTACTATCTTACAACAATTTTTGAGAAAATCATCTCTGTTGCGATCAAAACGAAAGTGAAATACATTCCTAATAATTTTATGTTGCGCGTCCCCGAGTCAAGCTTATAAATTAACAGGACTCACTCAACCCATTTACATTGTTCCCACAAGCAGTAATCCAACATGTACAACGACAATGGTAAAAACAAGAGGAAAACGCGTATTTCCGCTTAGTTTTGTCCGCGGCAAGCCGTCCAGCCTGAGCGAATAAGGGGAAAAAAAGGGCAGCCATCTGCCCTGGTCGTAGTCCGTAAATCCAGCGTCCTTTTTCGCGGTCCATGCGCTATCTCCGGCTGGTAATGGTCCGAATTCCCAGGACGGTCGAGACGCGGAAACGTGACGCTCGTTTCGGTCCAGGACGAGGAGAGCCGAGACACGTTGTCGATCCCCTGTTCGCGACTTGCTCTCTTCTCTTCCGCGCTCAATTTCTTATTTATCCCCGCGAGATTAAACAGGACTACTGTACGTGCGTGATCAGCGAGGCGTATAGAAGGGTCGCCTTAATCGCGTAGCCGTGCGTAGTTCTCCATCGGCGAGTCTATTAAAAAAAGAAGGAGAGAGAAAAGATACGGGGAACCTTTCGAGGGGTTCGTTAGAGTTGGACCGAGGGACTTCTTCTAATACGATGGTTTTCTTAGATAAAGACCGAATTGCTTTGAAGCGAGTGGCGAGTGTACGCGCGAGTTTTATTTACAGAAGACTTGTCGAAGAAACCGCATTCATTGTCATTTCTATTTAATTGCTTTGTACACTTTAATTACGAATTGCAGCTTTATAAAGGATTTTATCTCGCGCGATTGACAATTTAAATTCCAAATATAATTATAAATTATATTTATAATTTTATATTTTTAATTGATAATTATAGATTATTTCATATAACTTTACTCCTAGGCTATTAATCAATATCATGTCAATTATCGTGTAACAATTATCATGAGTAAAGTTTTTTTCCTTGGGGCTTTTCGTAAACTATTTTTATCACACCGTTACCGCGTAGACTTTAGCTCGTAACTGACTTTTAAACGAATCTCTCGCAATAATTCAGCATTACGTTCATAAATATGTACTTGGGCGGTATCGATCCGAGAAGACTGGGTACATATCTTCAAGAGTTAAGCCGTTAATAAAAAAGTATTTTTACCGCAGTTAGGACTATGAAAATTTAAATAAGCAGCGACGGGAAGCACTTCGACGGCGGCGCGACGTCGAATTCACGGTGGCTTTTAAGCTCCACAAGGTCGTTAAGTATCTGGATGGATATCTGTGCGTGTCCGATGTCATCAGCGAAGTCTAAGTGCGCTACATTAATATCGTAAACTCGAAACTCCCGACCGTCTGTAATTTCAATTATTCAAGTATCTTTCGCGACATTACATCGTTCCTTGAAAATTTTTATCTCAGTGAATAATATATGTCGAGATCATATCGCTGTACTGACAAAGTGTAAAATTCTTTGCGGAAAGAGAGAATGTAAGTTTGTGAATATGCTTCCCTCTTTTTTAAAATTTAATTGCATTTCTGATAAAAATTACAGTATTCTTAAAATATATAAAAATCGAGAAATTTGTAAAATCCTTGTTTTAGCTTCTGTGCATTTAATAGAATTTTGCATAAGTTTTTATTTAGTTTTTATAGAATTTTTTATTTGCAACTACAACGTAAAATTAAAATCATAATTAAAATCTCGGTAATAATCAGTCATCTCTAAAAATAAAAATTTTCGAGTATTTAAAAAAAAAAATTTTTTGGGAATTTATAAAAACGATTGTTTCGTTATTTCTATTCAAGTTTTCTGTTAATTATTAAAATTAGTTAAAAATTTATTATCCTTTTGTGATGAGGATGGCAAATTTTTATTTTTATCACAAGTCAAACTACAACAAGTTAAAATTCAATATGTGATTTCAATCTGGCAGTGCTCATGTATCTCTCATCATTTTATTTTTATCATTTACTTATATGTCGATTATTATTTCCAAATATTTACTCTATAAGTAAATTTATTTACTCAATAAATTAAATTATTGTCTCTCGATCAACAGTACATACAAGCATCTCTGAATTTTCCTCGCAGAAAATATATA